GGCTGGAAGGGATTAATGGGGGGAAAAGGGACATCTGTATTACTTTCATCAATAAAGATAGCCTGGCCAGCGTGGCTCAGTGGTTGAGTGTCAACCTATGAACCAGGGGGTCACATGCCAGGGTTGCAGGCTTGATCCCAGTGTGAGGCATGCAGGAGGCAGCTGATCAATGAGGTTTTTCTCATCATTGATGTTTCTATTTCTCCCTCTCCCTTCCTCTCTGAAATCAATGAAAGTATATATTAAAAAATAAATTTAAAAAAATAATAAATAGTTAACTTTTTTTTTTTAGCCTCCTCCCTAGGAACCCATTTTCACCCATTGGAGGCAGCCGTTGTCGACATTAAGAATGCATGATTTACAATGCTGACCAGGATGTGTTAAAACTGGCATTTTCCTCCACCAAGAGAGTAAATGATACAGTTTTTCCAGGAAAGCAAATTTTTGATATGTATAGAACCTTAAGACTTTTTTTTTTACATTGTATTCCCACTTCTGACAGTCTTAAATGCAAAGATTTTTGCCGTATTACTTGTAATAGCCAAACAACAGGGAAATGGTTAAATAAAAGGATGAGTCATTAAAAACTAAAAAAAAAAAAAAGGGATGCATGATTTAAAATAAGCCGAATAGCTAACATGTACTCTGCTTCTAGAACATACTCAGAAGTGCTGGCGTTAACCTTTATTTGCACCTCAGAATAACATTAGCTTGGGTGGTATGTTTACTCTCCCACCAGCTGAAGCCCAGGGACATTTGCCCCCGGCCACACAGCTCTCAGGAGAACCAGGCCGGGAGGCCAGCTTTTCAGACCCTGGGACCTCTGGACCACCCAGAGACAGGTGTTCAGCCTTCAGATGAGCAGGCCACTCCAACACAGGCCACTGGGGTAGCACTCCTTCCTGACCACGGATCTGACCCAACCTGGTAGGGAAGCAGGTTTTTCCTGATTGCCTAACTTTAAAAAGATCGCACTCTGACTCTCATCTGATTGCAGCCTGCTGACATTGGCGTCCATGACTGGGGAGTTTAAGATCCTGGTTTAGGCCGCCTTGCACTTTTGATAAACATCGAGGGTTCAGGGCCCTGCGGTGCTGGGCCCTCCGGACCACCAGGGCCAGGTGTCCAATGTGCTTCGGTCTCACCGTAAGAGTGACAGCAGGTCATTTAGGAGATTAGTAAAATGTAGGGAAATTCTGAGACAAATTGCCCATGATTTCATTATGGTTGGCTTTTTTCCCCAGGTATCTTTATCTCAGCTTCATATATATATATATATTTTTAAAGCAAAATTAGGACTATATGGAATATATAATTTTATCCTGCATCTGCCCTGAAGAGGTGTAGATTTATAAATCACAAATATTCCACTGAGGAGTTCGATATACACTTTCCTACCATTGGGACACTTAGGTTCTTACATATTATGCGTCCCGAGCAGTAGACATTCTCATGCATAAATCTCTACCTCTCATTTGGCATATTTCATAGACATAGAATTGCCAGATCAAAGAGTGCAAAATAAGTGGACTTGATAAAAGGGAGACATAATACTTACTTTATGTCACTTCTGTTATTTGGATTGTGTTTTTAAATATTTGTTTTCCCTTTGCTTTCTTTAAATTGCCTTGGTCGGTGCTTTTAAGTCCCTTTAGCTCTTTTGTTGTATCACAACTGTCCCTTTGAGGAACTAGTCTTCTGATTATTTGTCTTGAGGATTTTGAGTCACAATATCCATGTCTGTATAAACATGTCCAATTCAACTGGACCATAAAATTCAATTAGTTGGTATTTGTCTGTGTTCGTAGCACAGGGAGAGAGACCTGAAAATACACTGAGCCCAGGAGAGCCTGCCCGGCCTGTGCCATTTATTTTTTTAATATATTTTTATTGATTTCAGAGCGGAAGGGAGAGGGAGGAGAGAGATAGAAACATCAATGATGAGAGGGAATCATTGATCAGCTACCTCCTGCACGCCTCCTACTGGGGATTGAGCCTGCAACCCCCCACAACCCGGGCATGTGCCCTTGGCTGGAATCGAACCTGGGATCCTTCAGTCCGCAGGCCAACGCTCTATCCACTGAGCCAAACCAGTAGGGCCAGCCTGTGCCATTTAGGTGTCATTTAGATTCAATGTATATATTCATCTCCTTGTTCACAGTTTTCCAGTTTGCAGAATCTTTCTTTTAATTTTTTTCTTTATTTTTTAGAGAGAGAAAATGAGAGAGAGAAATATTGATTGGTTGCCTCCAGCATACACCTGACCAAGGATAGAACCTGAAACCTGGGTATGTGCCCGACTGAGAATTGAACCTGACACCTTAGGGGAAAACACTTTTTTTTGTCATCTATTTTGTTGGTAAACATTCTCCCATAACTTTTGCTTCGGGTGATAATGTCATTCTCTAAAAGTTCTGATTTAACAAAAGCAAGAAAACGGAATGGAAGTGGTTATAAAAGTAGGTTGCCTGCACTATGCACTCACCTTAGGTGCTATCTTTATTCCTGCATTTGTCCTGATCGATGACTTTTCTTTTTAAATCCAGACACATAGAGGCTTAGGGAGCAGCTAGGCCACACACCTGTGGTTGATCACCCTTAGAGGTGGGGAACAGCGGAGAACTGTCTGCTAAGGAAGGTAACGGCTTTTACACGGCCTCTTTCAGAATATCAAATCAATTGTGCTAGTGTCTTTACCAGTGTCATCAAAATAAATTAAAAGTTTAAGTGACGAAACTGAGCAGCAATACATCTGCCTTTTCAAATGTTGCTTTGGGCCTAAACTTGGTAACTAGTGAAGCATCTTCCTACCCAGCTCAGGGAAACAGCTGTTGCTCATCCTGTTGTTAGAAGTTACACTTTGGGGATGGAAGGAGCGGATGGCGCAGCAGTGAAGCAAGGTCACAATCGGTGTGTGCAACCGTAAGTGGAACATGTGTACTTCACAGGTGACACCAAGTGAACGGAAGCCCTGTGCTGTCCCCAGCAGCTGGAGTTGAGAACTGGGGCCTCAGATCCTGGAGGTAGCCGGGCCTCCTGGGACAAGTCTGGGAGGGGACACAGACTGTGGCTCCACCTGGGGAGTCAGTGTGTGGGCTGATCCCCATACTTGGGAAGGCTACAGGCCACTCAGTTAATGGTCACAAATGTAGCCTCCAGAGCCGGCTTTATCCGTGATCAGCACAGCCACAGGGCTGGGGCTGGGGCTGGGGCTGGGGGCATGGTGCGGGGTGGGGGGAGAAGGAATGCGGAGCACTGTGTGGGCTGCAGAGGGACCATTAGCACCAGCAGCAGCTCTCACTCACCAGACTCCTATTGTAATGGAAGGAATTTGTGAACCAAAGTGAAGGCTCCTTCATGGAGGATAACAGGTTAGGAAGCTGGGAGGTGGCTCACTCTGAGCAACAGCTCCCCGTTGCCACGTGGATTTCGGGCCAGGCTGGGCATCTGCCGGGATAGAAGAGGGAAATCAGGTCTATGGAGAGGATGAAGCTGATTTTTGTAACAAGGTCAGATAGCCAGCAACGAAGCTTTCCTAACTGTTCAGTTTAGGCCTGAATGTGGTGCATAGCGCCCCCTTGTGGCCAGAAGGAGCTGAGACTTCTGTACTAGTTTGTTTTTTCTTGATAAACCCACACCGCCCTGTTACACCCCATGCCCCCCACCTTCCTCCCTGCCCCTAGAAGTAATGAACAAGATCTTCGCGGTCTAAAGAAAAGAGAAATAGTAAAACTATTGTTTTGTTTGCTTAGAGGAAGAGCCTGTATTAATGAGGTCAGACAGGCAGGGCATGAGGAGATGAATAGGAAAAGGATGAAAAGAAGGAAATTGACCCAGGAGGCCTAAATGGGCCTACCCTAACCGGAGATTGGCATACAAAAAAGTGTGTCAAAATTATGAGAGCACACCGACTCTTTTATCAGTTACCTTGTGTCTTTATATAGCACAAAGCTGACGTTTCGGTGAAAAAGAATTTAAGAATTTAGGGCTGCCTGCCTTGGCCTGGTGGCTTAGTTGGCTGGAGTGTCCTCCCTTACACCAAAAGGTTTCTGGTTCGATTTCTGGTCACGGCCCATCCCTAGATTGTGAGGGTTCAATCCCTGGTCGGGGTGTATAAAGGAGGTGATTGACCAGTGTTTCTCTCTCACATCAATGTTCCTTTTCTCTCTAAAATCAATAAAAACATACCCTTGATTGAAGATTTTTCAAAAAATAGGGGCTGCCTAAAATGTTCTGAATTTCTAAGATAGGCTCTGGCTGATTCTCCTGCTGTGCGCCTGGCTATCAGAGGAGTGATAGTGTCTGTATGTTGGATCTAAAAGTCTAGCTTAAAACCAAACAGACTGAATGCTCGCGTATTTGGGCTTTTTTAAAAGTTGCCTTGATCAAGGGTTGAAGACACAAAGTTTGACTTGTCACAGCCCTTCTCAGAGTCCGGGAAACAGGACACCAGCCCTCAGACCCGTGCAACGTGTGTGTGTGTGTGTGTGTGTGTGTGTGTGTGTGTGTGTGGGTGTGGGTGTGTGTAACAGATGGCGAAACAGCACGCACCTCAGGTGCTACAGAGGAGCCGCGTTTTGCACCTCACCAGCTTTTAAACAAACAGAAGGGCGCAGAACACCATTAAAAACGCCAGTAGAGCGTCCTATCTGTGCGGCTATTCCCTTAAAGTGATCATGTTAAAAGCTGAGATACAGAACTAACGGGGTGCCAGGAATGAAGTCATGGTTTAGATAAAAACGCTGCTGACTCGGGGTGCTGTTGGCCCCGGCAACTTTTAAACCCTCCCTGGGTCCGTGCAGAGCCTCACTGACCACGAGCGGCCCCGCTCCGGGGAGGGCTGCTCTCCTGGGAAATGAAA